AGGTCTGATGAGAAAATATGTGTGCACATTCATATTTGACAATGACCTTTTCTTCACAAACACTGCTTTTAGGGATTCCAGTAACACAAAAATGAAGGAGGAAAAAATAGCGGATCTATATTCAAACCAGTTACTAAAATAAATTAAGGTACATCTAACTTGATAAGTCAATTCAAAGCAATTCGTTCCAACAATGATTTCCATGACCACAGGTTCGATACTTTCTTAAAAAACCTCCCCAACAAATGAACACTTTTTTTAGATACATGATTTTCCTCATCAGAAAACTTATATGTTTAATAATGGAGTTAGACACTGTTCAGTGAATTCACAACCCACCCTAACAAGCAAAATTTCCAACAGTTTCTAGCACTAACATCACATAAACAATATCCTTGAACTTCCTTTGCTGGTTGTTGTGAAGGTTAGCCCTGAATAAGCTGTATCATTCAATGAGTCTGCAGAGGTAAATATTAAACTCCTACTGAATACATTAGATAAGTGTCAGGTCAGCAAACAACTCATCTCATATTCTGATTTGGCAAAAATAAACACATAAATAAGAATAGAATAGTAGCCCAGTGAACATGTTTTCTATGTACATATGAATGTACTAGACTTTCATTGGCTCAAATCCACTGAAATAAAACACCCAATAAAATCACCATATAAAATAGTATATTTGATACAAGTTTGAAACACAGAAACATTATATGTTGCTAGAATATTCAAAATTAAAGGAATTGTCAAGAAGAAATGAAAGACTAATAGCATTTAGAACTCAAAGTAGAAAATATGGGAGTTTAGAGGGGAAACAGAACAAATCGATCATCTATTTAGTTTTATATGCTCTCATGTACTAATGATTAATTTGAATTATCATATTTTGTATTGTTTTTAATCACACACCTTCTGGTTTTCAGCATCCCGATATGTAAGTCCAAAGTAGTCTTTTTCTAGTAAGTTCAGATGTTCACATACTTTATCAAATAGCACTTGGCCTCTGGAGCGTTTCTATGGGAAACAAAACAGAAAAAGTAGTCAACACACAAGTTCTCCCCAAGATAAAAGCAGATGATATTGTTTGTTATAACTGTTCAGTAAATAAAGATCAAGTGTGATCACACCACCATCTCCTTTTTAATTAGAAAAAGGCTCAATGAACCTGCCTTCTGTACACAAACAAAAACCAAAATCACTAGTATGACTGAGTAAGCACAGAAAACCCACAATGATTTCTAAACAAAGCAGCTGGGGAAATGATGTGGCACTGGGAAGTCTCAAGTATCTTGTAAAATATAAAATTCTGACAGTAAAGAGCATGAAGGACCAGTACAAGTCATGTTTCTAGCACCTCACCTGCATTCCACACAACAGCAGATCTGAGCCTGAGAATTCACGTTGTTTCTCCCTTAAAACTCTGTATCTCAATTCTAACTATGGGTTACTTTCTAAAGTCCATGAAATTATTATTTTTTTTTTTTTGCCACAGATTTCAGTTCTGTATTAGAGTGATCAACCTTTTCTGAATTTCATTTAGTAATGAGCCTATAAAGTATAAGAAAATGTTCATTAAGTTTAGAGATTTTACTTATCATTAGTACACAGAAGATGGAGATGCACATGCTATATTTTTTAACATGAAGTAGTGATTTGGAGAAAGGTTATTATCCAGGGAGAACACATTAGCTGAATTCATTGTGACAAACAGTATATTTTCATCTAATCCTAAAAGGTCTCTCAATCAACATGGCCTTGGAGTCTGAGATGCATTAACTAGCAACAATTAATCTAAACTACATTTTGTTTGTGTGCACTAACATTTCATATCTAATACACTTAACATATCTGAATTTAAGATTTAACATAATAATAATAAGAAACATGAAAATTGATAAACAATGTCATAAGCATTCAGGAGATTTGTAAATGGTGAATATTATTGTGTAACATAATCATATTGAAAGTTAATCGCTCAGTACCCCTCAAGCATGACTATTAAGGAAAAAAGATAAATTTATTATAGAAAAGTAAAGCTTGAATTGAGTTAGCTACATAATCAAGATGTATTTGAAAAAAGTTTAATAATATATGAAAATAAATTGTGCGTCAGTGAAAATACATAATAACATTGCTCAAAGATTTGAATAAATAGAATGGCAAATGCTGCTTGCTGGTGGTTTAAATCTAATAGCATGTTATTTCTGAATAATGCTTAACAAATTATAAAGTTTTCACACACAAAAAAAATGGTTCTTCTGATCTACAGATAAGACCACTGAGGCTCAGAGAAATAGTGAGAGAGTGCTATGTAATTGCTATGAGTGGTAGCTACAGCAGATATAGCTGAGTTTGTATCTTTATCATGTCCCTTCCACTTATGTAAACCTCTGTCTTTCCCTCTATAAAGTGGGTAGGATACCCACATATTTCATTGGGATGAATAACATTAAAATAAAATATTCAAACTTGGTCTAGAGACAGCACACCAAACCTGCCACAAATGTTATCGTTTATAGCCCAAACGTTAGTACAAATGGCAGGATAAGTAATGGGCAACTTAGGTATTTTTGCAGTAGAAGCACATAAACAACACTTGTGAGACCAAAAAACAGCTTTAGTATTAGCATGTTCTGCTTGCTCTTTAGAATATCAATCACTTATTTACTATTACTTTAGCTAGATCACATTCACACACACACACACACACACACACACACACACTCACACAAATCCACATCAGTGTCTGGCCAAATACTTTTTCCATGACTGAAAACAAAATAAAAATGATTACGTCAATTTTTTTCTGCAAGGTCTCCTATATTCTTGAACCAGCATATCATGCTCAGCTCCTCACTGGAGAAACTGCTTCTGCATATGCCCCAAGCTGTTGGAGCAGGGTTGAATTAGCTCTCTTTTGGTTACCATGTAATTCCTTTGGTTTAACAGGGGGCATGGTTTACTTCAAACACAAACCACCATACTGCAACTGGCTGTTACAATTTTCACAAATTGCTTGTTGTTAACAACTCATATTGCTCTCTTAAAAAGACTGGATCATTTTTCTAATTGAATATTTTGAACAAATTTTGAACATTATAAACACTTTTTAAGGTATTTGCATAGTATAATCATTGTTCATACTGGAGAGTTTCTTTCCCAGCCTTAAAATCATAATCCATTTTCTAGACTCTATATGACTACATGGGAAGAATGAAATTTCGACCTACTAACCAGCACCATGGTCACAAGTTAACTGGATAAACTGGATGAATGTTTTAAATATTTGAGCTTTCATTTTTTTTCCCCTGACTGAAGTTGGAAGTCTCCTTAGAGCAAGGCCATCATGGCCAGAATCTATAAATGAGCTCCTGTTGCTCATGGCAAACATCACTGATGTTTCTGGAACTTTTTCCATGGAGCTGGGTTGCAGTATCAGCACCAATCTGCACACATTGAGAAAAATGCTGCCAGTGGGTGGGCCTGGGAAACGATGTGGAGTTGGGATTACCCTCAAGTCTTACACTGGATACAGTCCTTCCCAGCGCCCCCAAACTTCCAATTTCAGATGATAGTTTCTCTGCCACATAAGTAAACTTTTCAAGCCAATAATTTCTATTTGTTGATATCTGCATGTACTTTTAGATAACAACCATCAAAAAGATGATGAAAACTCAATACAACCAAATATTTTAGGAAATTTATGTTAATTACTTGGTTCCCAAAGACATGGTGTTCATTAAGTAAAAAAAAAAAAACTCTAGTTAGCTTACTGTCACATTGGATACTTTTATATATAGCCATAAAAACCCAAGAATTGAATAGACTGAAAAAAAATTACCTATTCTAAATTAGGAGGTAATTTATCTAACCAGGGAAGATTAAGAATTTTCAGTCACTTGTTGTTTCTTGTCAGTGAACTTTGAGTCTCTAGATGTAAAGACATTTGTAATTCATAGGTACCATTCAAAATTAACCCACAAAATCCAAAAAAGCTGACTCTGTCTCCCTGGGATACCAAACCTATCATGGACTACTCTCTTAAAACTGCACTGAAAAATTGGATTTCTGTTTCTGATACAATAAATGGGGATATTACAGTCCCCAAATCTGAAAGACTTCAACTATCCTGTGACTAGTCCACTCTCAAGTAATTTAAATAAAATTCATTTCTTAATGTGTTGTTGGAATTTTTTTTAAATTCCAAAATGATTCACTGAGTTGTGGCATGTTAGGAGAGGGTGTCAAAAGAGAAAGAAAAGATAAGCTACAAACTGGAAAAAATATTTGTAAATGATATAACCAATAAAAGAGTGGTACACAAATATACAAGGATTCTAAAAATTTAATAATAATAATCAAATCAAAATTGAGCAAAAGAGCTGAGCATTCAGCTTCCCAAAGAAACAGCAAATGAACAAGTGAAAAGATGTTCACCATAATATGTCGTGGGGGAAGGCAAAGTAAAACAATGGACCACTGCAATCCTTTAGAATGGCCAAAACACAGAACACCAACACCACTAAATATTGGCAAGGAGGTGCAGCGACAGGAACTCATATTCTTTATTGATGGGAATGCAAAATGATGCAGTTGGTTTTGAAATTAATCTTTCTTTTCTTTTTTCTCTCTACAGAGTAAATGTCTTTATTTCTTGTACATATGTGTGTGCTGTATACATTTTTTTTTAAATTGAGGTAACATTGTTTTACAACTCTATATATGAATAGGGAAAAGGTTCACATCTCTTCAGATGTATGTTATCATGCTACACCATCATTTTTCTTGGTATTTATACAAAGGCGTCGGAAACTTAGGTCCATACAAATCCCTGCATGAGGATGTCATGGCGGCTTTTTTCATAATTGCTAAAATGTAGAACCAACCAAGATATTACTCAGTAGGTGAAAGGGTAAAGGATGTTATAATCCAGATAATTAAATATTCATTAACACTAAAAAGGATTAAGCTATGATGCCATGAAAAGACAAGAAGAAAGTTTAAATTCATACTGCTAAGTGAAAGAAACCAATTTGAAAAGGCCACTGACTATAAGTCTAACTATTAGATGTTCTGGGAAAGGAAAAACATCAGTGGTTGCCTGGGTTTTGGGGGAAGGAAGGGGTAAGTGTAAAGAACACAGGATTTCTAGGGCATTGAAACTATTCTGTTAACTATAAATGGAATACCTGTAATAATATACTGCTCAAAAACCACTGACTATCACACCAAGAGTGAACCCTGATATAATACATGGCCTTTAATTAATAAAAAATGGATTGATTCATCAAATATAGTATACTGATATGAATGTTGAAACTGGGGCAAGAAAGGAGAGAGAAATACAACGGGCAGATGAAATCTTTCTGTATTTGCTACTCACTTTTCCAAAACCCTAAAACTGTTTCCAAAAACGACACTGTCAAAAATAGTCTTAATTTACATGTTTATAAAATTATTAAATATTTACAAGGTATAATAGAGTTAAACTGAAAACAACCATACTTTTATCATGACTAAATAAACACAATTTTTATGAGGAGGAAACATTTTAGAAAGGCCAGAAACTATAGTAACAACCACAACAATACGTGAAATCCTTCTAGGAAAGTTGTGCATTCTTTCTAGGAAAGGCTGCCTTCTCCCTGCATCTGGCTTACACCCACCCAGCAGCCACCCTCTCGGTGCCCAGGGCTAAGCCGAGATGAAGTGCTGACGACACAAGCTGGGCACCAGATCAAAGTAACTGCTCATGAGCTAACTGCACCACTGGGTGATCCAAACCGCAAACATGTGAAATGATGTAACAGCTAAGGGGTGGAAACTTTCTTGGGTCACCAAGTTTTACAAGAAGATTCATCCTCACCATTCACACATAGCAGATGAAATAAGCTTTTCTACAGCATTAGTGACACTTCTCACAGGTCAAGTCAGTCCAGATTTTTACAAAAATGTTTGTAAAATGCTGGTTCCAATTGTGGGGTTACTCAACCAGTATCACATAGGAAGCCCAT